GCTAGCTAGAACATAAGAATAACTGGTTAGTTGTGAATACAAAGAAACGAAAAAAAAATGCTAGTCCAGCCATCTTTGGTGTGTTTTTACAATTTATTCATAGATTCTTTATCCGTAATCATGACAGTCACATGACTAGTCACAATATCTAGATAACAATAACAGTTAACAAGCGAGCTAATGTTAGCTACATAGCTATAAGGTTAGTGAAATAACAGGCTGTGACTGTAATAAACCAGGGTGCTATTGTTAAAGCTAGCAAAAAAAAAATATCAACCAAGATCACGGATCTAAAATCACCCACTTCTATGCTTTCTTTCTTAACCGATTGAGCGGATGATCTGTTTGTGGATTTATGAATGACTGATGTACAGGACGTTATCTACAATAACCTTATAGATCTGCTTGCTCTCGTCGGCCCCAATGGAAAAAAAAAAAAGTGAAAATGTGAAATTACTGCTTAGGTGTCGGACTATCTCTCAGTCATTCTTCAATGAACTACTTACAGGGATACCCTTAAAAAGTCTCTCTCATCTGTGACCTGCTGGTTCTTTAAGCGATTTTCCGGATAATTTCAGTCTCCATAGCCTGTGAACAACACAAAGCACAGGAGCTCACGAAAACAGGAACGGACATCCAAGACCATCCTCACTTCCGGGCGGACGGGTTTACGAAATCACACTTCCTGTTTGCGTGATTTCCAAAGACTGGATCAAAACAGCGAAAGGGTTGAGTTAAAAAAAAAAAAAAGCTTTAAAGCCTCTTTCTGTGACTTTTTTTAAAACTAATATCAACAACACAAAATGAGAATAACTTCCGCGTTTGCATGATGGGTCTGACATCCTTGCAAACAGTATAGTGCACAAGTGTGTACGGTGTAATGCATACTGTTCCTCGTAGGAGTGTAGAATAGTACGCACTATGCAGTATACAAGAATTAACGACACAGTCACGTGACCTGACAGATTTACCTGTGACCACAGTTCCTTCAGAATTATATTAGACTGATTCACTTTCAGTGTTTGTGGAAAGCTTTATTTATTTATTTATTTATTTATTTACAGATTAAGGCTGTACATATGGGCACAACGGTTGAGGACAGATTCATTCATTTATTCGCCATTTTCTTGTTTTAATTTTTCCATGCGATCCAGAAGTGACAATACATGACCGTTAGATGGCGTGAGATATTTATTAATAAGTAGAAACGAGTGCCTTATATTTGACACGGAGTAACACGGTATTACGGTAATTGTAAATAAATTTTTTGGGGTTTCAATGTTCAATCTGCTACTGGTGAAGTGCTTATTTTCCCCCCTCTTTATAATTGCAGTATTGCAGTAGTAGCAGTGTATAATAATAATAATAATAATAATAATAATAATAATAATAATAATAATATCATCATCATCATCATCATCCTAAAGGTCAATATTATTTACTGTAGCATTTATTTACTAATATTATTTTTTAAAAATGATCATCATTTTTATATTATATTTATATTCCTGGGCATTTGGTTGTCAGACTCCCTGTCTTGTTCATTAAACACCAATAGGATCCTTGGGAAAAATAAATAAATAAAATAAATAAAAAAGCACAGTAAGTGTGGAGACTTTAGTATGAACACAGCGACCATAGCCTTCAGAGAACAGGGAACTGCATTAAAAAAGTTATGAACACAGATCTCACTCAACTCTACACATCCAGATGCAGGGCAAGAGCCTAGTCTATATTCATGGTCTCCTCTCACCCAGCTCATGCCCTTCATGCCCTGTTCTCTCCACTCCCCTCTGGCAAACACTTCTGATGCATCACTGCACACTCCTTCTGGCTCAGAGATAGCTTCTTCCCTCAGGCCATTAGGATCCATATCAGCAGGCGTCAAATGATGTTGGCTTTCCCTTCCTCTCTACATGGAGTCTCTTAATGCAACTGCAAATATACTGCTCATTTAGAACTTCTTTACTGTATACTTGTATAATTTGCATTTTTGCTAAACATCTGTGATGCTTACAATCATACCTCTGTATCACTACCTGCACTACACTGTATGTTCCATATTACATCATTTGCACTATTCATATTACACGCAGTCTCAAACTTGTGCAAAACTATTTCCCCACACGTGTGCAAGAACATGCAAACCTCCACAGAGACACTAATCTAAAACTCAGGATTGAACTGAAGACTCTGGAGCCGTGATGCAGCTACGTTATTTGGAATGAACACATAATAAGTATTAAACAAATACAAATGCAGATACAAATAGGAGGTGCACTATTTATTCATTTATTTATTTATTTATTTATTTTAAAAGGCCAGGGCATCTAGTTGAGAGTAGTGGTGGAGGTTTTCACTTTCACGAGAGTGAGAGCGAACCATCAGGTGTAAAGCATCAAAGAAATACCACGTTCATTAACATGCTTTACAGCGTTCGTTCATTCGGCCAAAGTAACTGCCTAGTCAGGGTCATCGTACTTTAAATTAGGCTAAGAGTTTGTTTATATTTTGGGAAACAGAAACACTTATTTGGGAAAAATAACTCCGTGAGTGGGATTAAAATACATGCCACACCCACTTTGGGTTTAAATCCGAATACAGACACAAATATGGATATTTGGAGCCCTAAACAGATGCAGATAGTGTCATTGCTTCACACCCCTACTCTACCTATTGTTTTCAAATGTGCGTGCTGAACAAGCACAAATGGATCTGATTTTTCAGGTGTCTGATGTTCTTGTGTCAAAGAAATACATTTACCACAAAACTCACACTCAGTTCATGTTTATGTCCCGTGGTTTAGAGAACATTTGTGCTTATGAAACTCTATGTGCTTATGAAATACTTTCCTAAAATAAAAATGCCATTGTCAGATGAGTGTCTATTTGTCCAGTTTGCTGTGAATGAAATTGCGAGTACACTAGTGTTTTTGTAAAAGAGCAAAATAAATCTGCCTTCTACTGCTGACTGATGTGAAAGTAACACACTAAGTTGCTAATATTAAAAGTCTCAGCTTAGTATTCAGTTATTTATCTTAAGGCATGCAAGAAACCAGAGTGAGAATAATAGGAAAGATATGCAATTATAAGAGTGATAAGTGAGTTAAAAAAGGCATTCGAAGTATTTCCAGTATAGTGCTGCTGCATGGAGCCACTTTTCATCCTCTGTGTTTCATCCATCTGAAATGGGTCTGTTTTTTCTGTTTCTTCTTAAAGATGTCACTTATTTTCATTATACCATTTTTTTGGTAAAAAGAAATGAGAAATTGTAACATTAATATTTTAATCATGCATTTATTACTCAGAATTTTCTTATAGTATAAAAGTAATAAGTCATGAAACATTCTTATATTCAATACAGGCCTTCACTTTTCTCATTTCTAATACATTTGAAACAAAGTGTTATTTTTTTTCAGATGACATGCACTATGAAAACAAACAAACAAACAAACATTTTAGCTCATGTAACTAGAATGTTCAGTAACACTAACAGAAGTTAGTGTATGTATTCTACATCTACTGTTACGTCAGTAGGAGTGCATGAATGAAAGTCTTGTAGCTTTTATAATCTAAAACCAGTCAATAAACATAAAAGTGCTTTTCACAGTCCAAATTAAACTCTGTGTAGCAAATTAAAATGTTGTCATGATGATAAATGCAAATAGCAATGGTTTTTCCATGAGCAGTTTAAAGCTAACCCTTCCTAAATTGAAAGCATGGATCTTTTGTTTGAAACAGAGAAATAAGCTGATTGTATGAACAGAAATGCTTTTCTAATAATGTTGAGTGGATTTAAGCTTTGCATTTCTCAGAGGTTTCTGCCTGAGTCTCCTCCCTTTTTCCAAACCGCTGACCAAGTTCAGTAGTCAAGACGGAACAACAGGATTTCTAAAAAAAAAAAAGAAGAAAAAAGGACACAAATAAAGATGAAGAAGAAGACAGTTTAATACCAAGATCATTAACACAGACACACACACACACATCACAGTCAAAGTCACAGAGATCATATCATTTTTTTCTTCATTCTGATATTTGATGTGAACATTAACTGAAGCTCTTGACCTGTATCTGCATGATATTATGCATTGACCTGCTGCCACATGATTGGCTGATTAAATAATTGCTTGTGTATATATATATATATATATATATATATATATATATATATATATATATATATATATATCCCCTCCTGAGCCATACGGATTCCTTTGTTACTATCCGCTATGCACTATCAGAAAAATAACAAGGAAAGTAAGAGAGAGTTCAGCAGTCACTCGAAAAGGGTTGCAGGAAGACCTGAAAGCAGCAGGAACAACAGTTACCCAAAGAGCAATAAGCAATGAACTGCAGCACAAACATCTCCCTTCCAACATCCCAAGCAAAACTCATATGAGCATTTTGACCCTCTTTTGGAACAATATATTCTGGTCAGACAAAACAAAAATAGAATTCTTTGGCAATAATTCAGCTCTTCATTTTTGGAGAAAGAAAGGTTGCGCATATAATCCCAAGAACACCACACTCACAGTGAATTATAAAGGTGAGAGCATCAAGATATGTGTCTGCTTCTCTGCAATCGATACTGGGGCATTACATGTCATTGGAGGAAAAATGAATGGAGCCATGTACTGGGACTTATTAGAGGAGAATTAATGAACCAACAAAGTATGTGGATAATATCATCCCCTTTTCCTATCTGCAATTCTATGTTTTTAAAACACAGGGCAGACTCTCAGAATCAGTGACACATTACTCATATGCAGGAAAAGCACATCCAGTGCAGCTCTCTGACACGCTTCGATATATAACAAACCAATTAAGCTCAGTTTTGATGTGTGAAATTGGTCACTTTTGGATGATTGCATCCAATAGTTTAAAAAAATACATGGTATGAGAACTGTACAGGCCAACATTGTGGTTCTACTTATATATTTAAATATCTACTCAAACTTTTTCAAAGAATTTTCAAAGAGGATGGTTTTAACCAGCATAGGGTCCCTGGAGGACTAGTGGTTAGGCCACAGCGTGCTCACCACTGTGGCTAGGGGTTCGATTCCTGGCCAGGAAACCAACCCCAGCCACTGGGGTTGGACATGACAGTGCATTTCCAGTGCCAGTCCCAAGTCTGGATAAAACTGGGGAGGGTTGCATCAGGAAGGGCATCCGGAGTTTAAAAAAAAAAAAATAAAAATTGTGCCAAATCAAATATGTGGACCAATGATCTGCTGTGGTGACCCCTAACGGGAGCAGCCAAAAGAAGAACAACAACATGGTTTTAACTAGCATATATCACTCCCTTGACTTAAATTATTTCATTAGGGAAACTATTGCTATATTCTTAAAAGAACAGGTTAACCAAATAGTGTAGAAATAGTTTTATTTTCTGTATTTCTATGTCCAAATTGCACCAAAATTTGCATTTTGTTTTTGTAACATTATTCATGCTGGTATCACATAATGTTAATGCTATAGCTACTGTATCTTAACCCACCCACCTGCTGTATGTTAGCGATGTTTCGTGATTTGGCAGTCAGCTCCATGAGGGCCAGAACGAGTCCCAGCCCTAAGCCGAGCGCCAAAAGAAGGAAGACACCTTTCAGGCTGCTGGGCTTCAGAGATGAGGCCTGTGCGTCTTCTGCCATGCAGCTGCTTGCCCACCATTTATTACGCAGATAATCCAGTTCTCCGGACTCGCTCAGCTGTAGGATGGCCACACTCAGGTTTTTCAGCAGGGGAAAGTCTTAGAACACACGCACATACAAGTTCAGCTGCAAGTTTGAGCTGCAAGGAAATTGCTGCAATTGAATAATCAAAACTGTCGGAAGGAAAGAGTAAGAGTATGATTGAGATAAGACTTTAAAGAGAATATGAAGAGAACAATCCCACGGAGTGTATAATTCATCTGACAGTAAAGCTTAATGTTTGTGGTAAGAATATAACTGCACAGCATGGTCGGAAAGAATATTTTAACCTTTCTGTTCTAGTTGTTGCAGAAGGACCCATTTAAAATTTTTACAACACTATGTAGAGGTGTCTGTATTAAGCTTCTGTGCATGCTCTCCATGTGTAGTTTTCTGCATGGGTTTCCTCCAGGTTCTCTGGTTTCTTCCCACCACCCAAAAGCATGCTAGTAAGTGGACTGCCCCCAGGATGAATGTGTCTGTGCATGGTTCCCTACAGTGAATGGATAGTGTTCCTGGGATTGGCACCAGACCCATTGGTCCACCAAACCAGGATAAACTACATTAATATTACAGAGATTTTTGACTTGATAGCAACATGGTGAAAATGACTTATTTTTGTAAATATGAAACAAAGAATGGCTGTAGTCGTGTTCAAATTTCAAAACTATATATATACAGTATATATATATGTAATTGTTGATATAAAGATGAAATATACTGAAAATTTGAAAATAATTACAGTTGTAATTTCAATAAAATCAATAAAATGTAAAATCAATAAAGATGGCTGGAACAGTTTGGTGTTCATCTAACTAGTGGACTAGGGACAGACCAACAGGGTTAATCACCAGCCCCATGGTGATGCTGAGTGTTTGGTTGATGTGTACTTGCCCAAAGGAACTGCAATGCTGTAGCCTCTCATGCCGATGATCTCAGGACAGCGCTTTAGGTTGCAGTAACGTGTCACAGCCAGGTCCAGAGACACAGATTCTCCAATGAAGGCATATTTCCCCTCCTGAGCCATACGGATGCCTTCTTCCATTGTCTGGGCATAGGACTGTTTTCTCTCCATGTTTTCATAGATGCGCCGGTAGGTAGGATTGTTGGAGTTCTGCTTGGACAAAGGAGTGTCATATCAAAGTGAATCCCAGTCATACGTGGTAGGCTGAGATGTAAGCAAATAAATATGATATAATGAAGGATTATGGATGTTGGCCATTCTGCTTTACCTTAAAGAAAGCAAGAGAGGAGGAGCCCTTAAGCGTCCCATACTCAATGACATTTTGGTTCGCCAAGTCTTCAAAGCTCTTAATTGAGAGCTGCTTGTTGTCCATGTGCAACCAAGAACTGAGGTTGGCGAAATAGCAGGCCAAGACGACTAATGAAAACAACCACCAGATGGCAGTAATAACCCGTCCTGAGAAGGACTTGGGGTGTGGACCAGCACCTGACACACACACACACACACACACACACACACAAATTGATACTTTGGTCTTAAAGGTCTAATTGTTTGCTTAAATCAGTTTGCAAGCACACTACATTTCTGTCTAATATATAATACATATTAGAGGTGCCAAAGATGTACTATTGAGGGACAGAAACTCATTATACACTGGAAAACATTCTCTTTTCTGTTAAAAAAAAAAAAGTGTGTTCACCTTGAAGTGTTAAGGCTCCAATAGTGTACCAGAAGCTGTGTGCGATTGTAAAGTGATTTTCCTCCATCTGTGGCTGGCTCCATTCAGATGGGCTAATACTTTAAAAAAACGCACCAAACACAAATTATGCATTCCCAGTCCCACTACATTCTACTGTTCTTAGTGACAGGTTCTACTCAAATCTATATCTTATTTTAATAAAGTCCTCTGTTCGATGATCTGATTGAAGATAAGATGTGTAGCTTACCGAGCCACCAAAAAGATACAGAAGGAGGTAAGCAGATAAGCAACCAGCAGGCTGATCCACATCTCACTGGAGAAGAGGTTTAAAAAGCTGAGGTACTGCGAATCATCTGAGGCAATGTCATTTCTCATGACAAAACTAAGGCCTGTCTGCATGAATGGTTTGGTCATGTCCACAGCTTCCTCCCGAACAGCGGTGAGGGTAAGTGGAGCCATGGCCAGATCCGCTTCCTAATGAAAATACATGCACATACATATACACCTGAACAGCAGTGCATGTACTGTAAGGTCATTACAAATGTTTCAGCATAGAAGTGGATTAGCATTGGGGTGGCTGCTATAAATGGGCTAGCAGGACCACACACTCTCAGAAATTAAGGTACTAAACTGTTCTTTTTTCTTCTTGTCACTGGGGTGCTACCATCAAGGGAATGTGATTTGTACCTTTGGTATGTATATTTCACCTTTAAAAATAATTTAATTATCAGATTACCTTACAATTATTTAAAAATAACTTAAAGTACATAATTGGACCTTAAGGATCACTACTGTAAAAGCTAATTAAAGGTACACCACATACACTTTCCTAGGTACAAGATACATACTAAAGGTACAAAAAACGTCCGCTTGATGGTACCACCCCAGCGACAAGGAAAAGTGAGTTTGGTAGCTTTATTTCTGAGAGTGCATGTCTTTCAAAAATAAAAAGACAGAAAAAGGCATCATTCCACATTGGATTATTTACTGTTAACAAATATCTTAAGGTGGATCATTTCGAATTTTGTTGTATTAAGCAGAATAGGCACGGAAGCCAATTTTTGCCAGGTTGAAAAGGGAAAAAAATTCTTTATTTTTGGGAGCAGCATTATGTTAAAATTTTGACTTATTTTCTTGAACGTCTGACTTATTATCTAAAAAGTTTGACTTACTATCTGAAAACTTTGACAAAAGTCTCAGACTTATTTTCTTGCAGTTACTACTGTAAGAATTATGCAAGATTATGTTGAATTATGTTATATTTGTGACTTGGTATACCAAAAATAATGAATTTGCAGACTTATTATTTCAGTTAGGAATTAGACTTTCCTAACTGCCAAATATTTTTTTTTAAAAGAAATGGTTGTGATTAATTAATAGGAGCTAGCCCTTGATGTTTAATCGCATTTTCAGATAGTGATCACTTGGCTCTAGCTTCCATTCACATAGGGAATAGGAGTGATGTAGCTGACTGAAGAGGATTTGTTTATTGGATGGTATATAGAAAATGTGTGTGAATAACAGGAATAACAGCGATACATTAAGTTAGCTTTTAAACTAGTTAGATAGTTACCTACCTACAAAGCTAGCTAATTTAGTTATTCTGCTAAACAGCTTTGGGCTATGCAATAAATAAGATAAAAAAACAAAACAAATAAAAAACATTTTTTTGCATAGACCTATCATATGACCTATCAGAGACATATCATCATGGCAAAATGTAGAGATAATAAGTTACACTTTTGAGCTAATGAGTAAACATTTTGAAACAAAAAAAAGAGAACATTTTGAGTTAAAATAAGTCAAAGTGCTGCTGCGAAAATAAAGAAAAACATGTTATGCCATTTTTTTCTTTGCTACCTGGCATAAATGGGCTTCCATACAACAGCACCAACAGTGGTCTAAAGAAAATACACTGAATGACAGGAAAAAGTGAGGCGAGGGCTGATTTCTTTCTAGCCCAGAGAGTAGATTCATGCAGCCTGTCAGTGACACTCTTGTCAGGTGAAACATTTTCAGGCCACATCCAAGTCAACAGAAGTGATTGAAAAGTTTTGTTTGGCCCACATCATTCTTATTATGTCATCACTGAACAGCTAAACATGCTTGGAGGAGATGATAACAGTACTGATTTTCTTGCCACCTACTACAATAGTATGTCAAATTTTTTTTTTTAACTGAAGATTTTAATTGGAGCTCACCCCTCTCACAACCTCTCCAATCATCCCAACCCAGTTGCCGCGCTCATCCTTGGCCCCGTATTTTCCATCTTTCACCAGGCGAACATTGTACTTGAAGCCCAGTTTCTCCGCAAGTGCGGCCAGCAAGTCCATACAGAAGCCCTCAAACTCTGAGCCTTTCGGCATTGTGTATGGTTCTTGCTGAGGAGGAAAGTCAGTGCTGCTTGGTCATTAAAATTTGTATTTAGTCACTATTTAAAAATAGGCATCCAACTCTAAATCACAAAACTGTTCTGTTTATTGTTTATCACCTACCTTAATGGTGGTCACCTTTAGTGGCTGTGGTTCTGGTGATAAAAGGATAATTGCATCATTAGGTCAATATCATTTGTTACAATTTGAGACCTTGGAATGATAAGCTCCTATCAGATTTGATTTAAAAAAAAAAAAAAAAGTTACTTGCATGCTAATGAATATGCAGTATGTGACAATTTTTACATGAAAATATTAATTAAAAGTAGAAAAATATAAAGTTGAAAAATG